GTTTTTCATCAGAGCTCATTGGTGCTGCTGAGGGGTTCCAGGTGTTGTCCTTAGCTGTATCACTGGCCCCAAAACARCTATTTAACTACAGGGCGAGAACACACCAAACCAGAGGTGAATTTATTTTTTTMCATTCACATGCTCCGATTAATGAGTTTGAAAGGAACACAGGAACACCTGTAGATCACCTCAAGTAGCCTACTTTCAGTTCAAACTAAACAAAAAAGGCAAAAAAAATACAATTATGGTTTGATGCTCCAGCTGCTTTAATTCAAACAAAGTGTGTGAAAACCTCGCAATAAATACCAGCAGTTTTGTGGTTTCATTGTTCTCACATTAGTGAGACTCACTTGCAAACTTGGCACTTTCAGCTCTTTAAATCACAGCCGAAGGTAGCTCCACTTGGCACCCAGGAAGCCAAACTTGAACAGCACACTCTGTGATACCTTATTGGGAAGAGAAGAAGAGGCTTTTATCTGATGCAAAGGCTGTCAAATGTTGTGCTTGATTTATTTTTATTAATTTTAGCAGAGACTGTGCCTGTAGCATCAAAGAGCCTACAGCTTACAGTCAGATTGTGGCTTATTGCAGCTTCAGGGCCTTTCGGACTACTTTTGGTTTCGGTGTAATCGATTGCATAGTTTCCCACCAGTTTCATTTGAGCATACCTGCATGAATGCCAAAATGAAACACGTGGCATGCACAAAAAGAGTCTTTTGGATACTGAGGGTTGCAGAACTGAGTCATAATGGTAGCTCAAGTACTTTCAGCTTGCACCTAAACAGTTGCACAGCCAAAACAGAAGTAAAAAAAAAACAGTGATGGCATGTGGGATCTGCCTTTTAGAGTGTACGGAGGAGATACTAGTTTCATTCCAAATTCTTGGATAGAAAATTAGACAAGGAAGCAGCTGTGGAGATGYAAGCATATTTCACAAAATGTGTAATGTCAGAGGCATAAATATACACAATGTGTTGGCAGCAAATATAAGATCAGGATTAGACTAACTCATAAAGACATTTATCTTCATTAGCCAATGATGAAAAATTGCATTTCCATTTGCGTTTGTACATCAGTTGGCACCAAGTGGGTTCAAGTATTTTTAAGAGGGGTTTAAGAAGGGAGGCACATTTTCAGGCACATGGTTAAATCTATACCACAATCATGTTACCTTCAGTTGTTATGAAAATGCTGTAAATATCAAAAATAAATTTGACTTTGAATCATAGCCCAATTGCCTTGAAACTGACCTCTTTAAGAACCTCCTACTGTTTCTGACACTCCCATTTCAGCATGTCTTCACAACAGTTCTTTGAGGGAGGGGTGCACTGTGTGGCAGGAGCTCGGCTGCAGACTGAGCTCCAGGGAGTTTGTTTTGTACAAGTAGGCGGAGCTTTGTACCAGGAAGTGTTTAKTCAGATCCACATCGCTACCACAGGAGATTCAAGGATGAATGAGTCAAAGAAAGACTCTGGGTATGTTTTKGATGAGGATATGACAYTATTACATAAAGCTTAAATAAAGCTGATTTTGCATAACCTCTCCTTTAAACTTTGTTGGTTTCTAGTTAGATCTGATGAGAAGTCGAGAAATAAAAAATAAGCTTTACATCATGAGTTTGTCTAATTTTAAGTATGATGTCATTTTGTTCTGGTCTGCTTTCAACCAGAAATATATCCTGAGATTTCAATTCATCACATGCTTTACTTAGCGTGCCCAGAACAAAAAAAATATATGTGATGAATGGTGACACTGACAGATATTCACTAAGGAATTACTACAGTAGCTAGAATAGGTATTTGGAGAACATTGTAGCTGTGATTTTCTTTTTTTTTCTTTTCTTTTTTCTTTTTTTGTGTTGTTGTTTTAAATTAACCATTACTTGCATAAGTGAAAGATTTCCCCTTCTTTTTGCTGTTTTCCTTTTTTTTTCTTATTATTCAAAACACCAAGAGACAGCTGCGCTTTAAAACAGGAAAAGTTATAAATACCAGAAAAAAAGTTCTAATGGCAGCAGCTGGGTCCTTACCTAAGGTGTTAATGTTCCTGAATAAGCCCATTAGTCCCCTGCCAGGCCATTAGAACCAGTGCCAATTAATGGTGAGTCTGTTTGATTGCAGAAACATTTGTCCCTGACTGTRTGTGCACATGTTGGGTCAGGATGTTAAAGGTCTTGTGTGTGAATGAGAGGAAAAAAAAACATAAGCGAGAAAAATCCCTGATATAACCAGAGAAGCATTTAGAGCGGACGTGTTGAATGTAGTGAATGTGACGTCTACCCTTTTGTACATCCGTGTCACACTAACCTCCAGACAGAAGGTGACGCAGGATCCTCGTCCACTCTGCCAACTGGCAAACATTGGGTCCTCTGGACAGGAATTCAGATGTAAGTGTTGGGTAAATAATGATTAGTACAGCGTCCAACATCCTTTTTAACACATTTGTGTTGTCAGAGAAGATGTTAGACTCTGCCAAATGGAAACCTGAAGATAGCCAGTCTTATATTGTTGTAATAATACACATTTCAGATTCTTTTTTTATCTAAAATGTCCAGCTCTATTTACTAAACCTCCAGGTGAAGACTTTGTTTGGTTCCAAACACATTTGTCCACTTTACAGACTRGAGCCAGAGCCTGTTTGTTCTGAGCCTCTTCTCGTGTTAAATGGTGAAACAGACGTGACATGAAAGCATTTTTTTGCTCTGTTTTATTTTGCAGAAAGTCAGACAAATTTTTACAGTAATAGAGTTCTGTCAGAGTTGTCTTTCTGGCGACTAAAATGTTTGTGTCTTTTGTTAGTGGGATGGGATTTATTACTTTGTATGCTTTGAGGAAAAAAAGAAAACTTCAAGCAAACAGGAATCTTTGTCTAACCACAGTTGAAAACAAACTTCAAGTCTCAATTGAATAAAAGTCATGCAAAGTGGACTGAAATAGAGTAGGAGCTCTGGATGTTATTGTTGACACATGGTTGAATACAAGTTATTTGTACCTGCTACATACCAGCCTTTAAATATTTGTGGTTTTTGCCTGAGAAATCTGTAAAGCATATCTTTTGTGGCAATTTCACAAAATGTGAAAATGTGGGACTGTTATTTTACTGAACAAGCACCACAGTAGTTTATATATATA